ATTTCGTGTTTACGTATAAAATCATTTTTCCAAGTCCTTTTTTTATACTCAATTTTATCAAGTTCTATTTGTGCCAATTCTCTCATAACCTTTCAATCAATTCGTCATAGTATTTTTTCGCTTCTAACAGCTTTTCTTTCACTTGTTCGATATTTGCATCGTTTAACTCTACTAAATACGTTCTAACACGCTTATTTTCGCTAATATGGCTGAATTCGTGTTTCGCTCGTACCTCCGTTTCAGTTTCCTCGGTTACATCAATCTCAAACTTCTTCCACGAAGTGCGTCTAATCTCGTCTTGTACAATGTCTTCGGGGGTGTCAACAAGGCAGTAAACAATTCGGGCGCGTTTCTTACCAGTGAGCCACATGTAGCCTATCATCTGCCAGTAATAATCCTTGTTTGGTAACTCATCTTCAAACCAAGGGAAGGTTGTGCCGTCCCATGAACATTTAATGTCTACGATTTCGTCTTCAAGTATCAAGTCGGGAGTCCCTTTGATGAAGTCGTTTTCAAAGTATTGGTCATTTTTAAGTGCGAAAGGCAAACCAAGGACACGCGAAGCCATTTCGATGGCGTAGTTTTCTTGTATGTTACCTTTGTCAGTATAGCGTGACGAAAACTCCTTGCGGATGCCTAACGTGTGTTCGATGGCTAATTCTTTAATGTACGTCTTTGCGGTTTGAGATAGGACCTCACCCTTGTTACGGGGTGAAGTCATAATTTTGCCTAAGGCTGAGCATCTAACCTTCATAACAATAAAAGTGCTTTAGTTTGTAAGTCGTTTAATTGGTAACCGCTTAGGGCTTGTTTGAAGGCTTCAGGTGTTAACTTACCTTCGGCTATTTGAGTAAGTCCATTTTCAAAGCGTTCTTGCGTAATAGTTGGCTTCGTGTTTTTGACCGTTGCACTGGCACTATTTGCGTCGTCGTCTTCCGCTTGTAAACTCAACAAAGACTGCAAGGTATAGCGACGGTAGTAAGTCACCGCAGAACCAATCTTTTGAGGGTCTTGAATTTCGGGTAGGCGCATACTTGACACAACCGATTGCCCCGTCTCAATGTCAATGATTAATGTGCTAACTACTCCTTCTGCTATTGGTTGCAATAAAAGCAAACCTTGTTCAAGTAAGATAGGTTCAACAGTCTCGACCAATGCGTTAATGTCTGCATAGGACTTCTTGAAATGTGGGTTGTTTGCATTCTTGACCACCTTGCCAATTTTTTGCTTGGCTGCGTGTAGTTTTGGGTAAAGCCCTGAGACTCTTACCGCTTCTTCTTTTACTTCGTCTTTTTTCATGGTGTTTTGTTTATTGGTTTATGCAAATATAGTATTATTTTTAATACGGAATACATTTAGAATAATTTTTGTTGAGCTACATGGTTTTTAATCCGTTCAACCGCCTTTTCATAGTACTCAGTATCTAACTCACAAGCCGTTAGTTCAAAGCCGTAATCATGACAAGCCAAAGCAATAGAACCACTGCCGAGGTGCGTGTCTAAAATCTTATCTCCGTCTTTTGCGTATTTATCAAGTAGCCATTTGTAGAGTGATACGGGTTTCTGCGTGGGGTGTATTCTATTTTGTTGGCTTGGGTGCTTATCAAACTTTTTTGAAGTGGTATTAAATGAAGTCCATGCAAGTTCAAGTTGAGAAAAAGTAACATCTTCAGAAAAACCTTTGTCCCACAGTAACCAACACGAAGAAGGTTTCAAAAATTCAGTCATATAATTACCGCCCCATATTATTTGATTTTGACTAATTCTAAAAAGTTCGTTAAAGTATTCTTCATTTGGTATTGTTTTGTCATTACCCGCAAATTTGTGATAACTACTTTTTTTATCTCCTTTTCTTCTACCCATCGAAACATTAACATTTATCCCATAAGGAGGGTCAACAATAGCAAGTTCAAAATAGTTGTCGGGGTAACGGCTCATTAAAGCCATGTTGTCCTCGTTCGTTATTGTTAGTTTATCTGTAATCTTCATCTTTAATCTTGTTTTTGTAGGTTGCTATTAATTCTTTCAGTTCGTCTTTTGTCCATTTCTTCGTGTCGTGCGCCTTGGCTTCAAGTTGGTCGTACTTTTGTAGTCCTATTTTGGCTATTAGTCCTTTTTGATAGGCTATCAAGTTGCCGTGTTTATGTTGGTTACAAGCGACACACTGGGCGTGTACGTTGTCGGGGTGGAAACGCACCGAAGAGTGTCCTCCTGCGCTCCAAAAATGCCCTGCGTCGTATTTGCTTCCGAGTGGAGTTCCGCAACTTATACAACCTTGGTTTGCGTCCCGTAACCTTATCCACTTGTTAAACACTTGTTGAGCAAGTTTAAGGTAGTCGGACGTAGTGAGTAGGTCTTCTTTCGCCTTTTTGACCTTGTCCTTCTTGATTTTAGCGAGGTTCTTTAAGGCTTGTTCCGTCTTTGCGCAGACAAAACAGTGTTTGTCCGTGGTTCGGTATGGTGTAAAGATTTCACCGCATTTTTTACATGATTTCATATAAACTTTTTTAGTTCGTTATTCTCTTTTGTTAGTCTTAAGTTCTCCTCATGCAGCGCATAAACCTTTTTTATCACTTGCTTGTGGTCTTCGCATACTCGGTAGAAGGTTAACATAGCTTCCTTTAGTTCTATTTGCCGTGTTTCCATCGGCTTAATTAAGTCTACCCGGTGCGAGTGCTTCGCCTTCAAGTCGTCAA